TGGAAGAAGAGGAACCTGATCAGATCTTAAGAGTGTAAAACAGTGATTTTCTTTCTTTCTTTCTTTCTTTTTTTTTTTTTTTTGTAGAGACAGAATCTCACTTTGTTGCCCTTGGTAGAGTGCTGTGGCATCACAGCTCACAGCAACCTCCAACTGCTGGGCTTAGGCAATTCTCTTGCCTCAGCCTCCCAAGTAGCTGGGACACAGGCACCTGCCACAGTGCCCGGCTATTTTTTTGTTGCAGTTTTTCTGAGGCTGGCACCCTACCCACTGAGCCACAGGCACCACCCTAAAACAGTGATTTTCAACCAGTGTGCTGTGAAAATTTTTTTCTTTTTTAAAAATTTTAGATTAATATGAGGGTACAATTAGGTTACAATGTTTATGTTTGTTAAAGTCCCTACTGTAGTTATGTCCCACATGCAGGAGTGTGCCATATACCCCTACATTGTACCCATTATGTGGGAGCACACCAATTTCTCTCTCTCCTCCTCCCTCCTCCCAGCTTGAATTGAATTGAGTTTTTCTCTTGTGGGGACATATATTAGTTTGTCTACTGGCTTCATATTAGTGTCGAGTACATTGGATACTTGTTTTTCTGTTCTTGTGATACTTAACTAGAAAGCATGTGTTTCAACTCCATCCAGATTAATACAAAAGATGTATAGTCTCCATCTTTTTATGGTTGAATAATATTCCATGTTATAAACGTATCAGAGTTTATTAATCCATTCCTGGGTTTATAGGCATTTAGGTTGTTTCCACATCTTGGTGATTGTAAATCGAGCTGCAATAAACAATCTAGTGCAAATGTCCTTATGATAAAATGATTTTTTTTTTCTACTGGGTAGATGCCTAGTAATGGGATTGTGGGATCAAATTGAAGGTCTATTTTGAGTTCCTTGAGGATTCTCCATACGTCTTTCCAAAGAAGCTGTATTAGTTTGCAGTTCCACCAACAGTGTAAAAGTGTTCCCTTCTTTTCACAACTGCACTAGCATCTGCAGCTTTGGGACTTTGTGATGTGAGCTGTTCTCACTGGGGTTAGGTGATATCTCAGAGTAGTTTTGATTTGCAATTCTCTGGTAATTAGGGATGTGCCACAAACATTTTTACAGATCATTAATTAAATTATTTTTGAAAGAAGTTCAAAGCACATTAAATATATAAATATATATATATTACTTTTTTTTTGATCAACATAATCTAAGTGTACCACAGAAGTTTAACTATAGGTTCAAGTGTGCCATGAGATTAAAAAAAGTTATAAAACATTGGTGTAAAGGGAAATAAAAATCTTAAGAGTCCCCAACTCCCCAACTCCTTATGCAAAATAAAAAGTCAAGCCTAGAGGCTGAGTCACACAACACCTTCCTTCCAAGTGGACAGCTGTTACTAACATTATGTATCAGCCAGATTCCATGGCAAGTTAAAAGGCCTTATCTACAAGGTCGGTCCCTACAGATCATTCATAATAATATTCCTTGCTGGCTTCCCATAAGCAAGGACATAAAAATTGTAACTTTAGGTCTGCAGGTTAAGTCTAGCTACTAAAACTAAAATCTGTTCTAATAATGTTGATTCTAAGTTTATCTTCCCAAGTGCAGAACAGAAACAAGCCAGAATCAAATATTCTTCCACCTACCCAAGGACATTTATATAATTGATGTTTTCTTCATCCCCCCCCCCCTTTTTTTAACATTCCCCTTATCTTATGTAAAATATGGATTTCCTGGGCCTTACAAGAATGTAACCATTTGTCTCACTGCCTGCCTCCCTCCTTTTTTCTTTCTGTATGTCCTATCCCCTTTAAAAACGAAGTTCTCAAATCCTGCTTTGGAAAAACATCCCATATCCATCTGTGGCTTGTGTTTTTCCCAGGTGTGTCCTCAAATTTTGGCTTAATAAATCTCCTTTGATTGAGATCTTTGCCTCAGTAACTTATTTTGGGTTGAGGTGATATGGAAGGGGAGTTCTTGCTACGCTAACTTAGCAGGGTTCTTTGCTTAAAATGGATTTTATAAGGAAATGCACAGATGGGTCTAGTAGAAGATTTTTTTTTTTTTTT